CGACAGAAATATAGGAAAGAAAGAAAGAGGGAAACTTTGAAATTAAAGACTGCATTGTCATTACAATGGTACTCAATGTAGAATCCAGAGGAAGAACGATTGGTTTTTCTCTCTCTCTCTCTCGCTGATGGTCTCTCGCGGCAATCCGAGTCATCAAGTATATACTTGTGTTCCGCTTTTCATTAGACTGACTGGAGAGATAGAGAGAGAGAGACACGTTCTATGTTTCATCCGAACACTCGACCATCACAACGTTTTCTCTATAGCAGCTACTCTGCTACTCTCTACTCTGCAATTCAATGCAGTAATTCCAATCAGACATATACTGTACTCAGTCTACTGTGTGCATGTCGATATACAGTATAAAAATAGTCAGCACCCCCGTGGTTGCTGTAATTTCGTTACCGGCTGCGGAATGTAATTTTCACCGCACGTGTTTTCCCCCGACCGTTTCTTTATTTCGTTTTGTTTTTAGTTTTAATTAAACTTTTGTTTAGTTTTGTCAGCCTTGTGAATCAATGGAGAAGAGAATCGTCGAGTCATCCTCAAATTCCCTCACTTTGTTGGTCCGGAACTCGTGCGAGGTGCGGTGGGGAAATGAAAAGAATACAGGGAAAGGAGAGGTTATTTGAATCCGACGTGGCCTTTTCAAGAGCCTTTTCCCTTTTGCTATGCTGCACGCGTACGTGTGAGTATCGAGAGGAAACGAGCATGTTTCTGACGTAATGCCAGAAGCACATTTTTACTCGCCATCTCGTTACGACGCCGGCTGTTTTGCACACACGCATGATCCGGAAACTGACTGAGGTTGATTGGGATTCAGTACCGAATATCCAAGATTTTCACTCTATTCTACTACTGTATTTTCTCCAATTTATTTTATTCTTAAATGACACCCCCCCCCCCCCCCCCCTACTTTTTTAAATTCTTTGATTTTTTTCTCCATTTTATTTTTTTCTTAAATGACCCCCCCCCCCCCCCCCACCGGCCTTATTATTTTAAATTATTTGAGCGTTGTTACTGTCGAGTATACATTACAGTGCACTGAAATCCCGTTACAACGAATCATGACAAATTCATCTTGGTCACTACAGTTTCTCTTCACTGAAACAATGCTTTAATAAATAATCTCGTTTTTTACAAACTAATCCTTAGTTGGAATCTCAATTCTGTATAACGACGAATTTTTGCCCTGTTTCAGTGAACGGGCCATGAGGATTACCGTATTTCATCTTGCGAAGAAAGGGAAAAATTGAACTTTTGCATAATCGAAATTACGTACAATAATGCAAAGATGTTTTTAAGGAAAAGTTAGTACTGTACAAGATTTAAGAATATTGCAAAAATTACGCATTGTGATGTTTTTCTTGGAATTCATGTAGGCTATTTTTCGAGCCTCGTTTGAGAATTTTGTATGCGCTTTTTTTTTTATGAGCAATAGCGTATGTCATGAATAAATATCTCCCATTCAAAAAACAAACGAGTGTGCTTGAATAAATGGCTTTGGAAGGAGATACGATACAGTACTGTACTGCTTACATCTGACTTTTGTATGATTTTATTTTTCAACGAGATCAGCTCATGATTAAGAATTTAAAGCAAGGCAGGTTCAAAGTGAAATAAATATATTTGAAAATTTCCCTTCAACTTCCATCAGAAAGTACTATATTTCAAGTACTGTAATGACAAGTCTTCAATATATTTGTCGCAGAAACACTTTACAATGTGTATACAATATTACCTATTTCCCACAAAATTGTACCCATGAATGCTTTTAAAACTATGAATCTCGACAAAACAAGATTTCCTCTATGACAATATTTTTTTTCCAGATCCCTGCATTGGTGTTTGTTGTGATGAAATTTTACTGTAGTATAGCTGGCAGCACACTGTACTGCTATACATTATTTATTTTATTTTGTTGAAGGCAGAGTACTGGACATTCTCTTGGTGGTTGAGAGGGACGATAGTATACGATTGAAGCGTGAAATCGGTTTGGCTCTTCCAAGACTCAGTTTCGCAATGGGGGAATCAGTATGCGGAGTTTTCCATGAAATCTTTTGCCAGCAGCACTTGCCAAGTACTGTAACACCAGCTCGAACTGAAATAATGGAGATGCAATTTCTTAACGCTCCTCGCCAAATCTTATTATTATTATTATTATTATTATTATTGGTAACAATCCAAACACGCATGCTGTGTGCTCAAGTCTGCATTTCGAAATGGCCGGTAATTGACTATTGGTTCTACCCAATAATGCGCGTGTCTTCCTTCCTGATCAGCAATCGATGGACTCCATCAGCCATACATTTATTGACTTTTCTGCTGCTCAACCGTATTCCAAATTTATCAAGTATTTGTACTGCAGTTAATTTCTAGCGTGTTCTCGAGCTTGCCTGGAAATATCCGGATGGCTTTTGCTGAAAGAGTTTCGGCCATTTCGCGGCATATACTTAGAATCAGCGTCTATACATGGACCTCATAATAGCCTGCCTTCCTTCTTTCATTTCATTTCATCATGTTGTTCTCTCTTTCGAACGAAGCTTTTGTGCTCCACCGGTTCTTCCTTCTCTTCGGCGTTTCTGTTTTCCGTATGCTGAATCTTTTTTCTTTTCTTTTTCTTTAACGTGTTATGGACAGGAAAGTACTGTGTACTTTCTTCTCTACTTTTATTTTTCGCTTCGAATATCTTCGACGGTTTAGTCGTGGTATCTCGCTCTCGTTAGTCCTCTTGATGATGCAAAATGCATTACAGCACAAAATCTTCTGAGGAGAATGAGAAAAGTTTCTGTTGGGATGAAAAATAGTCCTTCCACAAAAATCCACATTTTCAAGGCAGAAAATGAGTCTTCGGAAGAAAATGAAAAAAAAATTCCAGGCCGTTAAAAAGCATTCAAACGTGCTGAAAGAGCTCGTTGTCAGAGCCGTACACAGTTTGTGCGAGAAGAAAAATACTATGAAGCAGAGAGGCACAACTAACTACGCTGGTCTTTGCTGGAGTTGCACCAGTTGCAAACAACTCAACGCATTTCCCAAAAATGGTTAAGCACTCAGTTTTAGTGATACATTATATACAGTGAGAGAATAAAGAGAGCGCTTCTTGAGTCACGAAATGCATGACTGAGAATTTCCATCAAAATGAGTACGTTGCGGGGAATCTTTAAAAAAAAAACATATGGGTTTTGGGCAATCATCTTGGATTTGAATCCACATTAGTGTTGCGTAGCTCGAGAAAGGGAGTGGATTTCCAGCCATGAAAAAATATATGGGGATTTTTGAATACTGTATCCTGATGTCCGGGTGATGGACCTCATCCTTGTCTGCGTGCAAAAGGTGTCGGTCGAGTCTTTATTTTGGCCCCAACTGCTGAGTCGCATGCAAACTGAAAAAAACAACAACAAAAACGATCCGCGTTCGTCCGCACTTAGTTTGTTCATTTCGTTCCTTAGCGAGTGAAACGAATAATTTGTCCCTCTTCTTCAAATCCCGAGAACATGCACTGACTGATTGGAAATGTCTATTCGGTACCTTAGATTTTTCTGCTCTGTAGTGTATTTTCAAATATCCCGTAATCGCTGGAATACCACGCGGCATCGAGTAGGACACGGACGCAGGTTTTGTAGTCTAAAATGTTGATCTGATTTTATTCTCAAGTAGTACGCGCACCCCATTTTTATTGTTTTAAAACAGCAATTTTTCAAAAGTAAGAACACCCGAAATCGAATGGATGCGTACTGTATATGAATCAAACCTGAATTCAAATAATGTTCAATGGTTTCCGTGATCAAGTGAATTTATTTCCACAGATTTGGTCCAAATTTTACCATTAAATTCGAGTCGTAATGCGATCCTCAAGTTTTAAAACTTTTTGAAAGAAGTAAACCGGCCTGCGCCTATGACGATCATCCCCTTATTTTCTTTTGAATTTTGCGGGGGAACGAGAGGAAAGTGCGCATGGTACTCAAGTGAATGCATCGTGTGCAATCCGACTTCAATACAAGTCAATATTCATCAATCATTCTAGTGCTGCTAATTGAAATACGATTGAAAAACAGCCGGTTTTGATAAGGATTTTATAAAATTCCTTTTATTAGTAGATTGCACTGCGGTACTCTTCCTCTCCGAAATGAGTAACGTCTTACGACCGCCGTCTTTGGGAAATTACTCTACAATACAATACAGTACAGCAGTACCTGCCCGCCGCCACGTACCGAGGAAATGACCCGCAATTAAAATCATTTGAGAGCCGTTGCTGTTGTCTCTTCCCCAATACGTTAATTGTCAGATTATCCAACACGTTGTGTGGGATATAATGTGGAAATTCTGCCTGTTGATCCGTTGGCTGGACGAAAGCGAGCAGTGGTGCTTCGGGCGCATTTCGTGATGCTGGATGTACTCGCGATGAGAATTAGGGATAATTGTAAAGGATGCAGTAAATTTTTTTTCGATTTACTTTATAACCTTGTTCATCGTTTTTGTTCGAGTGGTTGTACAGCACGTTGTCCAAAAAGCAAGAGCTAGGCTCCTTAGATCCTTGGACTTGACGTTCGAGGTCCCTTCTACAGAGATCCTCGTGGATTCCCAAACACTGTACACGCGTCGAATGTCGAAGGTGCATTACCGCCCCATAATGGTTTGAATTACTGAGCGGTTCATCATGCATACTGTATATCGTGCAGTACCGTCCTGATGCATGGCGCGGGTACGGCAGGGAAATGCTGTAAATGCACTCGGAATCGGAAATTCGTTCTGGCGCGGATAACATTTTCATGCCGGGTTTCGGACCACAAATACCGTACAGGGAAATTCCACGCGGAAAGCCGCCGTGGGAAGCGTTTGATCGCTTACTTTTAGGATGCAGTCTGCGCGTGGCTCAGTCAGAAGGCCGCCCGCAATAGTCAGAATCACGATAATAAGTCAATATACCCGTATACAGTACATACATATATGAGATGCATGGGGGAAACATTGTGGACGAGTTCTTCCGGAAGGTATTCAGTATGCAGTACTTGTACCTGGTTTTGGCTCGTGTCGTGGTGGACTTTCGCAGTACGCGAATGCGTCGCCCTCATTGTCCCCGAGAATATGAGGCATGATTTGCGGGACGGAAATGCCTTTATAATTCGTCCTCGCAGCATTATCCACGTGTTGAAACAGGATCCGTCCCTGGGGTGGACCGTTGCCTTGCCTTGCCTTGCCCGCATTATAGCTTGCAGATTCTCCCACCCTATTTTCGGAGCAAAAAGGAAAATGAAACAGAAAAATAATCCATGTTTTGCAAGTAAAGTGCAGTACAGTACAGTATATACGTATAGATAGGGGGCCGACAAAAGCAGCAACAAGCCTTTCTGATGATTCGTATCTTCTTTCATATAGTGTACAGTGTTTGCTTAGCTTTCATCCCGTTCCTTTCCGTTCCATTCCATCCGGACGAGAGTGCCAATGAGTATCCAATGACGAATAAGTGGAATAACGAGATGTTTTCTCGTCTCATCCCCTCCCTCCATCTTTTTTTGTACCTCCCACGTCCCGCTTTCCGATAATGATGATGGTACTACAGTATTATCATCATCATCAGCAGCAGCATCACTATATACCACGTATATACTAAACAGCAGTATGATTTTCATTGCCGCGTATTGCATCGCTGTACAGTATGCAGTACTGTTTCGGGATAGATACGCAGCAGTCACGACGTTCGTCCAGTACATATATAAATACACTGGTTGGGCTGTACAAAAGTTGGGATGCATATTTCTGGTGCAGTAATGCAGTTACAGTGCATCGCAATGATTATGATAGAATGAAAGTAATGCTGCCAGCATCTCGGCAGTCATTTCCAGCAGAGATGACGAGATGAAGGCCGTACTGTTGACGACACCAGTACAATCACAGTACAGTATTGCACTCTTGTGGCTTTGCTGAACTGCTCATGAAGACCTTGTGCTATTTTGACGACGCATGAAGCAAACGCTTGCAAATTTTTTCCTCTTCTGCTATTGCCTTGAATCTGTATTTTTTTTTCTGCGAATATTCATTCCGCAACGACAAAAGAAAAAAAAGAGAGAAAATGATTGTTTGAACTGCATTTTATTTTTCCAATCACCTTGCTTGCGGCTTGCGAATGACATGTTTCCTATTCACATTTGTTTTTGTTTGTTTTTTTCGAGGACGGTGATGAGTGCAAGAGTTTGTTGCCCGTGCAATAGTTGATTCCTTTTTGTTGTTGTTGTTGTTGTACAGCTCGTTGTTGTTATTATTATTATTATTAGTACACAGTATCCTGCCCCAGCAGTTGATGAATGACGATGATGACTGTCTCGATGTGGTTCTGAAAACGCGTTTTTCTGATTTTCCAGCGTTCAATCGGTTCGACATATTCCCGCCGAATTTCAAAGAGGAAATCAAGGAGGACCAGTGGCTGGGTGTAACTGTCCGGTCCGGGGGCAAAGGCAGGAAAGTGATGGTGAGACTCTGTTTTTGCATTCGTTTCACAAATACATGTACAGTACAGTACTGATGTTTTGTATATGGGTACTGGACCAGTTAGTACTGTAATGCATCTCGTGTGTTGATTGCAGCGAATTTATTTTCCTGGCCCCTCCGCAGTTTCTCCGTATAAGAGCAATATGTTGTAATCATCTCATTTGAACGAACTAATTTTTAGCCGGAATCTTGATTGAACGCTTCTTTTTTTGCCCTCTTTCTTTGAATGGGCCAAATGGATAGTCCCATCATGCAAAAACAATGGGAATAAGTTAACTTGTGCATCATCAAAAAATTAATGATATATGAAAAGAAGATTTAGTTCACCATAGCAACAACAACAAAATGCTTGTTCCTCGGAATTCATTTCGGTTCATTCACGAATTTTCCGTGGCTCTTGTTTTAGATGAGCAGTACAGCATGTCAAGAAGAATGTACAGTACCTCGTAGGCAAAGAGAGAAAAAAAGCTGATGCTTAAATAAATGACTTTGGAAGGAGGTACAGTACTTCCTATGTAACTCGCTTGTTTATCATTGGATTTTCAACAAGCGATCAAGCAGATTGCACTACACATTAGATTTGAAGCAATGAGGCAGGTTCAGAATAATAGGAGTTCATTTGAAAATTTGCAATTTGACTTTCACTGAAGAGAAGTAGAAATAGCACAGGACAGTATGCTGTTCATTTCGGAAGTACAGAACCGTACAGTACAGTGCTTCATTCACAATGCCTATTGCCCAATTCCCCTGAAATGTGACGCTCAATTGTTTTTCGAAAAAAAATGAATCTCGATTCATTAAATTTTGTGTGAGGTCCCTTCCTTCGGAGTTCGTTGTAAGGAGATTTTATTTTACGTAAATAAAGTGGGTGTTCAGCACTGTACTGAATAAATGCCCGGTTTTCCTCGTTTTCTTTTCAATTAGGTGTGTGCACATCGTTATGTGCGGAAGGTGTCTGAGAATCGGTGGGGACAAGGGCTGTGCTACACTTTGTCTCAGTTGCTGGACTGGGACCAGGATTGGCAGCCGTGTTCTGGCGAACCTGTTCGACAGTGAGTACACATCATACACAGTATTGTATTGTATTGAACACTATTCCATCGTCTTCTACCCTCAAAAAATGAATTGAAGGAATATTGATACAGGTACAGTACTGTACTGTACTCTTCAGTCCTTGAATACTTTTACATATCTGCGCGGAACACTGCCGTTGTTCTTTTCCGCCAAACGAATGCAGAAACAAATGAGACACGAGCTGCATAACGGCGAATGTTGTTGCATAACTTGAGATCATGTGGTACTGTGTACTAGGAAGCAGTTTGCTCCAGCTTGTCTACATTTTACTCAACTGTAAACCAGGAACGGAACCATTCGTTTTATATTCGTCGAAGCGTGCATGCAGATTACCTGAAAATCCAATTACGAACGAACGAAAATGGTATGCAGTACTGAGTATAGAACATACGAGTAAACTGTACAACATCGGAGTTCATACATCATCTATCGGGATGCAGCGAGTGAAAATATTTCCAGGCTTCTTCTCGCAACCAACGGAAGTTGAAGCTCACCAACAAAAAATCTACTTTTGTATCATATACGATCGAGAGAGAGAGAGTCGCGCATTCACTTTTGGCGAATAAAAGCAATCAAGGACGAAGTCAAATGATTAAATTTGAATGACTTGACCAAGTGCCGTGTAATACATTATCAAGAAGTACTTGTCACTGGAACTTTTTTTTTACAAACGGACGGCATGGATTGGCAAACGCAATTAAAGCTTCCATTTATATTCGACATGACTGTCGTGATTTTGATTCTCAGTACAAGCAGTATATACTGTACAAACTATGCAGTGCTTCAATCAATGCTGCACGAATATAGAGGAAGTATACATGGCATCATGCATGGTTTATTTGGAAATTGGCGAGATGCTGAGGGCTCCGAAAAAAAAAAGCATGGTACTGTATATAGGATCAGAATCCCATGCAGAGAAGTAATGTATTTTACTGCTGCAGTTCTTGGAATGCGCGTTTTTGCCGCGAGAATGGCTGATATACGAGCTGTATACTGTATAGGGCTCACCGTTATTGTTGGACGTATAGTAAAAGTACGCGGTCGGTTGGCAAACATGAATACAGCACGGCAGCATTGGCATCGGCTTTCGAAGTTTTTTGATCGAGAAACCGAAGGCTGCGCAACTTTTTCTCAAAAGACAATACTGTTAGAATGTAATCGCTGACTGATGCATGTGGTGATGCCTTCTTCGTGGCTTCGCATCTCTTCTTCTTCTTCTTCTTATGGTGTTTTCTTCTCTTCCGAGATTGCTGAAGCATCAATACTAGCAATGTGAGACACATATATAACCTCGCTCTGGTTTTGGCGACTGGCCAAACTACCGCTTTACTCTTTCTTCGCGATGGTCAGTCCTTCTTCAGGTACCACTGCTATACGTATCTCGCAAGAGTGAGTGAGTCTTGGTAAAGAATCGGGTTAACGTTTTCGACGACGGGGAGAGAGGACTCGTCATTTTCATTGCGATCGGAACTGCCCTCTCCTCTATAGTTTTGATGGCATCACGGAGAAGCGAGCGGAACTTTATCACATCTGGTAATTATGTGATCATGAGAGACACGGGTTCGAAAGCGATTAAACCGCTTTATGGTAGATTACAAAGTCTACCATTAAAAAGGGACTGTGCGCAGTGAATACTGTAGTGTAGAGTGTAGACTAAGAGGCAGCGATTTCCCATCGGAAATTCGGGAAATTATTGTCTGCATACTGCATGTACAGTACTTTAAATATAGAATATACATTACAGTACTGTACCTGATTACTTTTAGTTGGGTGCGGCTTGCAATCCACCTGGTTTCGGTTCCGGACTGAATGGCTCGACTATACGAACGAGGGGTCTGACAAATTTTATCGAAAGTAGAAATTGAATAGCTATAAGTTTGAGCTGAAAAAAAAACAATGATTGTTCACAAGAAACATTCTTTCGCCCGAGGAAAAGATGCAACTCTGTCTGACGTAAATTTTGTAATTTGTTGGTGTTGTTCTTGCAAACATCGCCGTGATAGTTATCTGTTCTTCACTTGAAAGATGAGGCCCGCGCATCTCCCAGATTTAATTTTGTGCAGTCCTGCTTCTCCTTGAGAGTTTTTCAAGTTCATGTGGCGTTAATTCCGACGGTTGCTCCCAGGTCCGTCAGGGTATTTCAGCCATTTTCAGTAACAGCCCCTTTCACAGACGTCACACTCTCATCCAAAGTGGCGGCTCCTAATGAAAATGGCGGAAATACGAGGTACCTGTACCTTGGAAGAAAATCATTGTTTTCCCGCTCAATCGTTTGCTATCTTGATTTCTATCCCGATAACTTTTGTTAGACCGCCCTCGTAAATTCCATTGTAAAACGGTTGTACATGAATTCAGTGCAAACTTGTGGCAGTTTTTGTTTTGTTTTCTCTCTTTCCAACTCCTCTGCTGTATACTGATTGATGCGTATTAAAGTTTTAAAAAAGGAGTCTCCAGAAATGAATCCGGAGGATTTTTTAAGCGTTACAATGGACGTGATACACTAGGTACTGCGATGCACGATGATTTTTATTTCCATCAGCACATTTACTGATACAGTTCAATAATTCATTCTCACCCGGCGCTGTTTTTAGCGCTGATCCAGGAGCAGTACAGATCAGAACAGTAATGAAGAGGTTAACCGCGAAGATTCGCGAGTACTCGCGCCGTGAGCAGTTTTCCCTTCTGCTACTTTTTGCAACCATGTGCGGAATATACCGAGACCGTGCACTGCTCTACTTGTTCTCATTGCACTCGATGGCAGCCGTCCTTTTACGATCGTTGACAAGTTATTCCTCGTGAAATTTCGAGTTGCGCAATTTAGTCTAGATTTAGAGAAGTGTATTCTTCATTTTCTGGCTTTGCTCTTGCCGGTGGTCGGCTGCAGCAGCTATGTAGGCACAGTATATACGTATATACTGTAGAGTAGAGTGTAGCGAGGCCCCGAAACGATCTACTTTTCTCTTCTGATGACCTTTATTGATGGTCCACCGAAAAGGTCAGACCTTTTCCCGAGCAGCCGCGAGGTGAACGCAGTACGCCCAACAAAATTGGGAGTTGTCTCACCTACTCATCATCTGGGATTCGGGAGGACTTACTTCTTTATCGTCGACTGAACTGCTGGGGGTGCCACAATAAAGAAAGCCAATATCAACATCAACAGAGAAAAAACTTCGACTGAGTCGGAAAAAAAAAAAAAACCTACGGAATGAGGTTGAGTTTTTCTCTCAGGTCAATGACTTTGTCTTTTTGATGAGCGGGGTTATTTTAATTGGGTTCTTATTTCTCACACTTCTCTCTGATGGTGATGGCTCCTCATCGTCGACGCCTTTTGATTGAAGGCTGCTGCGGCGGCAATCTAACTGTTCGATACGATCGATACTATATGCACTGCACTTTCTGCATGCAATTGAAACGCTTATAGGAAACCCCATCGCCAGCAGGACGATTGCAAACGGCGTTTGATGAGAGGATTATTGTTCCAAGTTATATTGAGATAAGCTTCGTTTCTTGGGCAATATATAATATGGTGAAGATGAATGGGCTTGTTTGTGAGTGACTCCCGGGATATAAGATGGACTTCACCCACCCGCCTATTCGGAATAAATAAGTGGAGTGACTTTCAGAGTGTGACTGCGCCCAGCATCACTTCCGGCTATTCTTAGATTGTGGACGCCCTTATCTCCTACGGGTGATTGGTTTGTGGCCAATCACAACTGTATTGGGTGGATTCATTCCTTTCATTCTTTTTCACCTATCACCATCAATCGCTCTCTTTTATTATTGCGCCCGCAGCACTGCTCGACTTGCAAGGAATGCTGTCCGGCATCAGTACGAACCAAGTTTATAATCAGCATTAAGACATATGTTCCTGATGATTTTATCTGCTGGAAACGGTAAATTTGTTCAATTTCAACTGTTTTCCATCATCGGAGTCTGATCTTTTGGCATCAAAAGGAACTCAACAAGAAGGGTATAACGAGGCCAAGTCTAGTTATATCGTACTGTACTGTACTGCGCACATGTATGGAAACAAAAACACTGAAAAAAGCACAAAAGTGTGATTTTTTTGTTATGAGTTTGACCTGAATTTATGGTAAATTTTTTGAATATGTATAAGTAACTCAATTTGTTTGTGAGATATCCGAATTTTGAAAAATTAAGCGTTTTCTCTGTTCCTGGAAATGTCGGGAAAGTGTCCGTATCTCGAGTCGTTGTCCAGATGCCGGGTAGATTTTATTTTTTTTTATTTTACGTGTGCCGGAATGGAATCGCCCGTATGTTGGGGCGTCCGCATGTCGGGGTCCCCATGCATTGTACTTGTATATAAGTGCAGACTTTGCAGTACTGCACGGACGATAAAGGATCGTTTGAAAGAGGCCTATGATGATTGAATGCAAAACCCGTCTCGAAAAAAACGTAATTCGTGCTGTTTGTTTTCATCATTACTACATCAGTATTTTACTTTTTGTAAAGCTGGGAGACATCAGTCACTCAAACACCGCATGCAGATCTAAAACACAAATTACATAATCCCTTTATGAAAGGCATAAGCTCGTTGATGCATTGTAGGGTAATTCTGAATCATCTCGCGCTCCATGCAATGCTGAAATTCCGGCGTAATAAAAGCAGTGATTGGAGGCTCATGGTACGTGAATCTCTGCACGTGGAATGAGTACTACCTTAAGAACTCGGTGCGTACGTTTTATGGCCCAACTAACGAGGCATTGCGATACGTACCTACTCTCTTCGTTGGCTCCAAGTACAGTAGAAGGACGATGATGAGCCACTGCATGTCAGCGTGGTGCTGTTGCTGAGTCAGTAGCTCAGGCTGCTGCTGCTGCTTCCTTCCTTCCTTCCTTAATACAGTAATGGAAATGATGTACAGTACTCTCCTACCTATATTGGTCCATCTCATCGCCAAGGAGGTGAAATAAGCAGCAGCCCGTTGATTCGTTTATTGTGCCAACCTGTAAAGTATACTACAGTACTGTATATGTACGACTGCTGCTGATTGAATTTCAAGCATTAGGAGCCATGCATGAAAATAATATCGTCACCACAAACTTGCAGGGACCTGAGAAAAAAAAAATGCATACGATGAAAAATGTGTTAAAACAATATTCATGCTTTTTTGAGTATTATGTATATAAGAATGAAAATTTTGTTTTCACAACATTTGCGTTAACATCCATCGCCCGAATTTCCAACTTATTTTTCTCATGGAAAAATTCAAAATGTGAAATTCTGTAAAATCATCTATTTTTCAGACATTCCTTTCCTTACCTTTTCCAAAATTATACTGGTCTTACAAAAATATGAGCTGAAGCAAACAGAAAATAAATGTGAAAGAAGAGCATTTATCTATCAAGAACTGGATTTTCACTGAAATATACTACGGTAGTATCCCTCCAAACATACGTTTCGTTCAAAAGATTGGTCACTTCTAAATTCTTAAATAAAGCTACTAAATCAATTTTAATTGAAGCTCCATGCTCCCTGGAATGCTAAATGAGGTGCACAAAAGCATGAGCTTTCATATTTTTAAAGGTTTTTTGGTAATATGCGCAACGTCTGGTTTTCCATAATGTGCCAATTAATGGTAAAATTTTGATATGACCCATGCACTCCTAATTGAGGTGAATACTTGTTACGTTGAGATTATGGAGGGGAAATCAGTTTGTTATGATGAAATGTACATTATATAACATTGTCCCTGTACGAAGAAACTGCTGCCAAGAAAAACATTCGTTATGAGGAGATTCGTTGCTACGGAATTTCACTGCATATACTGTAATGTACTGTACATGTGAAATATTGCGCCCTTAAATGAAGAGTCTTATGTAGGATAGATTGTCGACCTTTCGGTTTCTATATACGCGTGTTGTTTTGATTTTCCAGAGCACACGAGCAGTATGGGTTTTGTCAGGCTGGGACCAATGGGTTCCTCACCCCGGACGACGACGTGGCACTCATCGGTGCCCCTGGCCCGTACACGTGGCGTGGCACCGTCTACGCCTACAACATTTCGGAGAATTTCCTCGAGCGGGATAAAACCAAGTACTACGTGCCTGTGCAAGAACGAGAATCGCCCGTTGACAAGTACAGCTACCTCGGTACGTATACAGTACTGTACCATCCATCTACTGTACTTGTAGATGTACATGTATGATATTGTACTGTACAGTGTATCGGCCCACTCGTTCGCAACCACTATAATTGCTCGGGCAGTGCGGTGCGGTGTTCCCGAATTTGCTGATGATTAAATAGTGTACAGTGCTGCATTTAAATACGCACGTGAGGGCCGGCTCCCGTCTATATACTGCTGTAGTCGCGCTATCTCTCTCCACCGAGTGTTCTTATTACGGTATACTGCATATACCCTCGTGGAAAGTAAATATCCTCTACATATCAGCCCCCTCTTTCGTTTGATCAGTGTATCCTGACTGCTAGCTGCTGATAAGCGCCAGTCTTACTAGCAACACCGTTCGAAAATGTTCGGCTGAAAATTTGTTTCACAGTACGGCCCTGCGCTGTACTGTGGTGTGTGGTCTGAGTTTTCCTCGATCGGGTTTCCGAAACGTGTACAGTCTGCAGCAGGCAAATATCGCTTGATCTTCCGCCTTCTTTTTTTCAGTTGAAATGTCGACTGTACAGCCTCAGCAGCACTACAGCTAGTAGAATGTAGAGTAGTTTAGTTTAAGAGAAGTAATTCGTACGCTTTTGTTGGATGCATTTAGATGAAATTCATTCTTGTTATTTGGGTCAGGCTTTTCCACGACTGCTGGGCGATTTTTCCCGGACGAGAAAACTTCTTTCGTTGCTGGAGCTCCGAGATCCAACGGAACGGGACAAATATTCTTCTTCAAGAGGATTCCGCGACAGAGTTTGATGAAAGTTCAATTGTCACTGTCTGGAGACGTGTTCGCCTCGTCCTACGGCTACGAGTTGGCCTCAGCGGATATTAACGGCGATGGGTGAGTCACACGTCTGATCGTTTTGTTCAGCATTTTTCAATACGGAGCGTGTTACAACTGTTTACATCATTTACATGGAGCTATAGAAAAACGCTAACTTTGAATCAAGATGAAATTATAGTCTGCGGATTCTGTATATGCTGGGGAGAAAACGCTGTATATTGGTTGAGCTTATGGGAACGGTTCGCAGTGAACGGATGGATTTCTTTGAATTCGAATTACTGTACAATAGGAACGCGATTCAACAGTCCTGATGTTCGCAGTCTGTATGCTAGTTCTGATGCTGATGTTCTATGTGGTTATCAAGAATGTTGTTGCCATTCATGCGTGAAAGACATTGGGTTTTATTTTATTTTTCAGGATGACGGATTTAGTTGTTGGAGCACCGTTCCACTATGCGAAAAATTCAGGAGGAGCAGTGTATGTTTACATTAACTCTCCGATGGGCTTTCAGGCGAATCATCCCTTCACGAAATTGACCGGTACGTCTCGTTTTTGCATTTTATTCCTCTCTCTATATACAGTATACTGTACTCATAATACACTCACTCGAATATTTTATATTTGTTAACGAATTTATAGGAATATATTTTATATTTGTTAACAAATTTATAGGAATGTATTTTATATTTGTTGATGAATTTATAGGAATATATTTTATATTTGTTAACGAATTTATAGGAACTGCGGAATCTCGATTTGGGTTTGCGATTGCGAATATTGGGGATGTCAATCTTGATGGATTCGAAGATATTGCTGTCGGAGCTCCCTACGAGGGTGACGGAGTTGTTTACATCTATCTTGGGTCGAAGACTGGCCTAATCGAGAAAGTGGCGCAAGTAAGAATTTTCTCTTTCGATTCTTTATACTGCAGCAGTACTCTTGGCTGTGAATGCATGGTTTTGTGCCCCACATTCCGATTGTAAAAAATTCCTGGGTTTTGTGCGAAACGAACAAGATTTATGATGTAAGGATGGAAACGTTGGAATGAATTTACGCTGGTGTCAGAGGGTCAGATCGGTATGGTGAATGGCGTTTGACTGCTTTACGATGTTTTCTTTCTATATACTTTTTATTCAACACTTGAAAGAACGAACATTACCTATATATATATACGTTTTATGAATGGTAGATATTTTCTCTGATGCAATGCTCTGTGCGTGTCGATTTCAAGGTTATCCGATCAGAAAATTTGAACGTGGTTCAACCGCCCAAGACCTTCGGTTACTCCTTGTCGGGTGGTCTGGACATGGACAGAAATGGATACCCCGACTTGTTGGTGGGCTGCTACAGCGACGACAAGATTGTGATGATCAGAGCGAGGCCGATAGTTGACATCGAAACGCGGGTTGAACCGATTGACACATTCACCAACATCGACCCAGCCACTCCAGGGTGCAAGAATAACTCCCAATCATCAGAGGTTTGGTAAGTGTACTGTATTCATGGCCCGATCAAGCGCGTATATCGGTCGTTCACTGCGGTGGATTTTGTTTTCAATACATTTTTAAAATCATATTAATGCTAAGTCACCATCATGGATTTCGAAAAAAGACGATTTTATAGGAAGGGCGAGCTATTTTATGGGAAGGACGAGTTCACTCGAAAATTCGTTTCGAGTTTCCGTACTACGAATGAAAGAAATAGCTAACCTTTCTTATTTTTTTTCTCATACAAAAAAAAATGGAACAGCTTCAGCTTCAGCGCCTGCTTTCGAATGAAAAAGTCGAAATCAATAAGACGGGAAACTAGTCTGGAATTGTCTTACCGGATAGAAGCGGAGACGTTCACGGGGAAGAAGTTCTCCAGGGTTTATTTTGAAAACGGATTGGCAGACAGGCCAAATGTCGTGAAGAAGGACACAGCGTTGAGTTCGTCCTCCTTCTTCGACTTCCACTGTTTTACCGAGACTGTTTATCTTCGCGAGGGAACGACCGACATCCAGAGCCCGATTGCTTTCAGGATGACTGTGAGTTTGTTTTAAGAATTCTAGTTCCTCCTCAGCATCAGTGGATGTGCAGTATTACTGTACTCTACCGAAATACGGAACACTTTCTACAAATTTATCCCGGCGCGATCCGCTGATGCCGGAGCTTTGAGCATATGACATTTTTCAGGCTCCCCATCATTATTCTCACCATTAATACTTAACTTATGGTGCATATTATGAAGCAATAATATATGCTGTAAAGTTATTGATGATTTTCTCATTATTTTTGCAGTATTCCTTGGTTCAGCCCAGCCCAAAACTACCAAAAGCCGGGGCTCCCCTTCCGGATATGGCCGATTATCCGATTTTAAATCAACAAGAAGCCGTGAGAGAATTTGAAGCGACATTCCTCAAAGACTGTGGATCCGACGATCTTTGCCAGTGTGAGCTGTACTTGAACATCACGACAAACATGATTGCCAAAGGTTTGTGCTCTTGGGTTAGTCTACTGACGAATTGGCATCATTGTGTACATGGCTTTTTTTTTCATCTCTTCAAGATGATGATGGAAACCCACTTTTCATCCTCGGTGAGCAGAAGGAGATCTTGCTCAACATCGCTGTCACGAATCTAGGAGAACCGGCTTATCTGACGTCTCTGTTTATTTCCCACTCAAATACGGTGTCGTTCATTCAGTCAATCTCGAAGGTATGCTGGTTTTCAAGCTGCTTTTTTTTCTTTGTTGTTGGTGACGAAATATGAAAGTGAATAATTCATGAAACTTTTTTTTTTTATGCCGTTCACAGAGCAGTCAATTTAGCTGTTTGCCTTTGAACGAGACATCCATCAAGTGCAACCTGGGGAACCCGTTGAAACGCGGTTCCGGGGAGCTCAGACTTCGTTTCAGTCCAACTAATCTGACAGACTTGGAAAGAACCGTGGAGTTCCAGTTATCCTTGAACACAACGTCGGAAGACTTGGCTGCGCGAAATGATTTCAATGTCCTGGTTCGAGTTGTGATGCAAGCCGAACTTTCGCTCAGCGGGTGCGTCGAAATCCACTCATTTGAATGCGTTCATTTGCCTACATTTTTTATTTGTTTTCGATGACGCGAAAGTTTCCGAACCTAACCTAAAGGAAAGGACTTGATGCGATTAAGTTTCATGGGAATTGGGTTTTATAGCTTTTGCATGGAGGATCCAGTTGTTCCAAGTTATTGTGTAAACGGTTTTAGATATGCTCAATATATTTTTTTCTTTCGAATGTGAATATATACCGTAATATGCGTGGGCTCCTCTTGACGGTGCGTGGATGAGGTGAGTCTTACGTTTGCATAGTATTCCTTGGACAACTCAGACACACACGTACCAAATTTTTAAACAAGATCATACGTGATATCATGTTGTACAGTTTATAGAAAATCGTATGTTATGGGTATTGGTGACCAGCATCAGCGAAGATTTGGTTTAATTTATTCGTATGTTAAACAACGTGCGAGTATAGTACACTTCTGTGCTGTACCCATTGTAATTGAAGAAAAAAATGTGTTTTACTGCACGTTATTGTAGATTGGCTCATCCCGAGCTGCCGACGTACGGCGGAGAAATCCGCGGGGAGAGCTCGATAAGATTCCTGGACGAGATCGGGACCCGCGTGGACCACGTGTACCAGGTGGCCAACGACGGTCCGTCGACGGCCAACCGCCTGACGATCGTCATCGACTGGCCATACCAGGTGGAGAACGGGCGGGCCCAGGGTAAGTGGCTCCTGTACCTCACGGAGCGGCCGGTGGTCGAAGGCGACGGAGAGTGCGTCATCGCCGACGGCGCCATCAATCCGCTCAAGCTGACGAACGTGGACGAAACCAGTGACCAGCCGCTGCTTTACGGCTACGCCAATTCCCTGGGCTATTTGTCGTCCGAACATGCTGTGACAGAGTCATCGAGGGAAGACGGAACCAGCAGTGTCATGTTTGACGCCGACGAGAGCGACGGATTCAGCACTGCTGGAGTCGCCGTTGGTGGAACTGTCCGCGAAGGTTTGCCGGGAATCATATTCTTGTCTCCTATACTATATGCAGCACTTTCAATATACTGTATATGGGATGAAAACACGCGATTAATGCTTCCGCGTGTGCGTGGATCATCATCGTTCTCGTGTAACTTGAACTTTATACATCTTGATGAGTCGCTGAAATTAAATCAACATATCTTCAGAACTGCTGTGGAGAAAACGCGCTCATCATTGTGGCCTTATTATTATGATGGAGGAGCAGGAGGGTGCATGATAGGGGATGAGAGTAAAAGTTGATCTGATGATTAACCGATGGGATTTTCGTTCCGTTTTCACTATATAGGTTCGCTGGGTTCAAACGCCATCGAAGAAGTGGACGAAGAGAAATATCACTCGAAAGGGGAATCCGGAATGCATTACTCCGGCACTTCGAAAACCTCGTACACGTCGAGAGAGGAAAAGGTTTTCCGAAGCAAGGAGACACGAGTTGAGAGTTCTCAGAGCGAAAACAGTCGAGTGAGCAGCAGTAGCAAGTCAGCTTCTTCCGCGGTTCATGCCTCATCATCGTCATCGGCATTGTCGAAGGGCGCCGACGATTTCGGGGACTCGGACTTTTATGTCGATGAGGATTACGAAGACGAACCGACGGGCACTAAAAGGAGACGCAAGAGAGACGCCGAAGCGAGAATCGAACCGAGGCGCATAACGGACAAGAACGGGAATACGGAGCTCGTCGTGGTTTTTGTAAGCATCATGCAGCTATATTGGAACCCTCGATTCTGATTTCTGATGGTCTTTCGAGTCCATACCGTTATTTACCATTTAGAGTACTGCACTGTACTGTAGTTTAGTCTGGGGTCATCATCAATGCGTCGTTTTTCGGCAGGATTGTCTCGGAGGCTCTGCGAAATGCGTCCAGTTTCGCTGCGACATTCGGAATTTGATGGTGAAACAAACCGCGACCGTGCACATCATGGCTCGGTTGTGGAATGCGACGCTGGTCGAAGATTATCCGCAAGTGGATCGAGCGCTGATCCGGTCTCGGGCCAGACTAGCGCTGGATCCCAACATCCCTCTAGTGCAATACAGCATTCGTGACGACGTCACTTATGTAAGATTCCACCAACGAATACTGTACTCTCATTTTTTTTCTCTCTTGAGAACGTTTCAATTCTCGAAATTCCTTACGATTATCGAATACAGTATTGCTGCTTTTCCTTTGTTCTGGAATGTTGAGTCATCAGTTGAGCCGATGATACATGTACTGTATATACAAACTGTGAGCGCTGTTCGCCTCGTGACCGCACTCTCTGAATGTTCATACAGTATATTCAATATTCGTTACTTACACAGAATGCTTGATGCTGAGTCGTTCTCAAATTTTTGTGACTAAAATAGGACATCCTTTTATAGCCGTCGGGCTCGACTATAATTCACCAATTGATTGGTTTCCTATACTTTATTATGAGATGAATTATTTCATGAATCTGTTTCTGTAGTTTCTGAAAATGAGGCGCTATTATTGTTGATTATTTGACTGTTCGTTTCGATTACGATGCTCGTAGAATGATTTATTTCCTTCTCCTGTATAACTGTATACAATCTAAACCTGTAAATTAGCCCGGTATCACGCGATGATATATGGAGGCATCCAGCGTGGCTCTTGATGCATGTATCTTAGTTCAGTTGTGTTTGCTGTATTTACTATCACGTGGTCTTCAAAGAAGGGTTTTGCGCATGTACTGTATATATATATATATATATATATATATACTGTATATATATGTATAGTGGGGAAAGACTTAATTTGGATTACGTTGTGAAATCTTTGGGGAAATAGAGACTTCGAAATAATTACATTAAACTGTATATAGTTTCTGGCGAATGAGTTTAGCTTCTTATTTGTAATGTACATGCAGAGTATGAGAAATGTGCTACATGGGATATATTACAGTACTTATTGCATAGGAATGAACACGTTCCCTCGTCGGAAAATCGTCTCTACATACATAGATGGTGGTGTGATGATTTTGGCATTGATGTCATACCCTTATATGTAGGCGGAAACGAGTGCTTTGCCGGACTCGCTGACAGTGCCAGGCCGAGCAGGGATCCCGTGGTGGGCCATCCTCCTCGGGGTGATTGGGGGCCTGCTCTTGCTGGGCCTCATTGGTGTGTGCCTCTGGTGGTGTGGGTTCTTCAAGCGGAAGAAGCCCGACTTCACGCTGAGCGGGAACCTGGAGCGACAACGCATGAACGGCGACTACTGATCAACGTTCAAATCCTCGTCAATGAGTATTCCTTCATCGTGTTTGCCTATAGAATCTTCAACTGCTGCTGCTGTGGTGCGCTTATTGAGTAGGAACCTCCATCTTTATTATAGATGTCGTCCTTCATTATTGTTCATGTTCTCGTCTGTCGCTTTGGTGAAATCCCTCTTTTTGGTTCCTCGTCTTATTGCGTTCACACTTCAGACATGATGCTGCTATATAGTTCTTGCTGTGATGCTTCATCGATGAAGAGTGACCCTTGGTTTTTCGTTTTACCCAAATATTTTTTCTGCTCCTCGGAAAAGGTGGACAAAAAAAAAGGCTGGTGGAATTTTTAGGTGTCGTATATGTAGGAGCAAGTTGCAATATTTTGTTTTCATTTGCCGCTTTTATCGTACTTTCGGTCCACTTTTCGAAGTCTATTCAAATTTGTTTTTAAACCGGTTTGGAGATCACATTCTTGTGAAATTTTCATTTTACGGGTGGTAGACGTCGATGAAGCTGCTTTTGCCTTGCCTCGAACGCACTGGCGTACCTCGAAAGGAAAGGCAACGGCAGCAGGTGAATCGACACTTGATTGAGCGGCGGAGCCCATTGAGCAATTTTTGTTCGAATGAAGAATAGCTTTCCGCTTTAGGAAATCTGAAAATCCCATCGATTGCTAATAATTGTGGAGTATCTCTTTTCCTGCAAGTGCCAAAGTGGATTTTTTTTTAACCCGCGCGCGATGACCTTTTTTTTGTCTATTGTCGTCTTGTGCCATAATCGCCGCGTCGCTGATTGCGAATGTCTGAATGCGTTCGGACTTTTCGCCGCTGTTCGTATTTTTTTTATTTGCTTTGAGATCAAATCCGTCCAAGAGGGTGTTTTGTGCGAAGATTGTCGGGAACTGGTTGGATAATTTCCCTCTCCGTAACTGTCTCTTTCGGTTAGTTCTTGTAATCTCGGCGTGTTTAGAAAAGTTTTCGAGGAGTTTCGCCTTTTCTTTGCTTCAATTTTGGTCGTGTGACTATTCGGAAGACGAATCGATCCTTTTTGTAGGGGTATGAAGGTTTTTGTTTTGCGGAGTTGCCTTTGCATCGGTTTTTCTGTGATCCTTGATTACTTGGGCCGGAGGACTCAAGCAACAAGTGGGATTCGAGGTTTGAGTGAAAATGTCTGACGCGTTCTTTTTTTTTTTAGTGTGAAGATTTCTGGTTAACTTTTGTCAAAAAATGGTGCTAAATTTCCCGAGAAGAAGGAATCTCTCGACTTCTGCTGCTGTATGAGAGTGAGTGAGAGAGTTGTTAATTGAAAGATTTTGTGATAGGTTTCGCTCGAATTCTTCCGAAATGCCTTTTGACCAAATTTCTTGAGGAAAGTTTTTTTCCTTCAATTTGGTGCTTTCTTTTCCAAGCAGACACTATATATGCACCGGAAGCGGGGCGTTTATAATTAATATTCTAGTCAAACAAACAAACGAGAAAGAAAAAAATACTGATCATGAACATTTACTTGACCTTTACTGACGATGAGAAAGAAAAGAAAGAGGAAGGAAGAACATCTCTCGTAAAATCCGAAATCCGAGGCACTTGGTGAACTCATCTCGATAATCTGTGACTAACGTGGACATCGAAATTCCTAAAAACAAGTCGGAGTGAGAAGTTTCCCCCTCGGATTTCACCGTTTTATATTTGTTTGCGAATTGTTTGTCTCTTCGTGGGGAAGAGGGGGAATAAGAAGGGAACTCTCGGACCGTTTTTAATGATCGAGGGAATACATTGGTACTTACGAGCAAAGTGGCTTCGTTTCTTTTCCAAGGAAGCATGCGATTAATGCTGTTCGCGGCGAGTTTTTTCTTGGCCATTCAGCGATTGACTGCGGAAGAATGGATCGACGTGAAGACTCCTGTTCATAAAATGGGCCCGAGAGGGTCTTATTTCGGATTTTCACTGGCTCAGCACGTTTACCACGAAGGAAGTAAACGGTTAGTGACCATCATACTCATCGTCGTCGTCGCTGTCCGTTCAAATCTTTCAGACACAGCGTGTATACTGTACAGCACTGAACACCATGCAGTACCTGTGTTTATTCACCTTACTGCAATTTGCAATCAGCCAATCGCATCTTCATAATCTTTATATCGACACATGAAAGTTCCCATCAGCAGCTATGTAATTTCGCCCATTATTAAAATGGAATATGAAGGATGTCGATATTTTATTATACAGTACTCTGCACTGCACTACTCTGTTATTGATGTACTGTACTGTATTGTGGAGAGTTATTGTACCGTAATATTTATGAAGACGATGATGATGAGAGATGGAGAAAGAAAAATGGTTGCTGTTTTGAAAGGCCTGCTGTTGTGCTCGTCGGCGCTCCGATCGCCGAGGATGAGAAGCAACGGCTGTATGTGTGTCCGGCGAATACGAGGGATGCCAACGACTGCTTCTCAATCTTGGACGCATCAGGAGGAGGAGGGGGGTTTGGTGGATCCGGGGGAAGTTCAAGCGGAGGCTTCGGTGGGTCCGGTGGGAGTTCGAGCAGCAACGGGGCCCAACAGGCTGGAGGAGCGGGTCCTCATGACGGCGGGTCGTTCTTTGGCGATGATGATGCGCCGGCCATCGTCAGGGATCCGGGTCTCAGCGACTGGATGGGAGTTACCGTCGAAAGCGGAGGCCTGGACTCTCCGGTTTTAGTGAGTGACTCATCGCTTGATCCGCTGTGTACAGTACAGTGAATGCTTATACAGTACCGTAATATAGCACATTCTTTGTTGTTCTTGCATTATTGTATTTCTACGTATACTGTATACTACTGTATATGTGTATGGTATCGCACGCTGCGTGAATCCGTATATGCTGTGCGAATGTGTGCGGCTGCCAATAGCCGCAAACTTGTGCTATTTCTGAAACTGCTGCATGCTTGGCCTAGATTCACTTGTACATCCAGTGCTGTTCCCTAACCTTTTTAGGCCCACAGACGAGCAAATTTCCATGAAAGTTTTTGCGGACGCGCAAATTTCCCAAAAAATTTCTGCAGGCTGGCAAAGTTTCATCAAATTTTTACAGACTCAATAATGTTTTGTTTGAAAGACTGTATGGTAGATACATGTATTAAATTTTTTTAAATTAAATTGAGAACCAATGAAGCAGCTATACTAGGATGTCTACCAAAATTGGAAATGTGTGCTTGAAGAAAGGTTTCTCTGAATGAAAAATTTGAGTAATTCATTGCAGCCGGTGAAAATTTGTTCAAGGCTTAGGATAAAGGACCACTTTTATTATTCATTCATGAGATAACTTCAACTGCCATTGTCCTTTCAATAAATTTCTGTTCAAGATAACAAACTTCATTGCTATTTTTCATAAATTCATCATGCAAAGGAAAATTTCCTGTGGCATAAAATGCCTGCTAACCATGGACCATAGGTTGGGGAACATGCACTGGCTTATACCATCCCATTGGTTTATTTATTTATTTTTTTAATTTTCAACAGTAGATATACAGAATATGCTTGTGCTCCATTATTGAAATTTGATCAACCAAATATCTTCACCAGCTGACTTGGCTGATTGAGGGGAATTTTGGAATCTTATAATTTGAGTTGAGCGGAACTCCATCATACTGTTGCGTGTTAGCAGTACGTTATCCTGCTGCTGCTGCTGATGGCGTCCTTTTCTATTCCATTGACGTTCATCAGCAGTCAGATATTACATCTATAATCATGGCTCCGCGTGTAACATACCCTTTCATTTACTCATAGGCATGTGCACACAGAAGCTTACTGGCTGATGGGAAACACGCATTTGGAAGTTGCCAAGTCTTTTCTGCCGACTTGCTGACCATGACCAAGAAGGACTTGGAAAGTTGCAGCGGTTTATCTCAGACCTCGTGAGTTTTCTGTGCAAATGAGTGATGCCGCTTATATTGCTGGCGTATCGTATCGCTCTTTCACATTTGATGTTAATTATCTTCCGATCGGATTGTTACTGCATTTATTGTTTGAAATGATGGAATGAATAGGCAAAGTTTGATGGAGCTGCTTAGCTATTTCCTTGCTTTCCTTAGCAGGAAATAAATAAAGTGTATAATAAGTATAGTCTGTTGCACGGTGTAATGTACTGTGTATAGCCAGCAATCATTTCAAGTCCATGCTACTGCAGCATGCTGTGCTGTCTATATACGTATAGCAATCAAGAAAGGAGCGACGATGAGAACATTTATGATACACTGTAAATAACATGCTGATGATGATGATGATGACATTGGGATTGCAAAGTTGTGATGTTCCCCGGAACGCTGCTGTGTGCAGGAAATTGACTGATGGCTTCGACCTGTGCCAATCCGGAATCAGCGCTCATGTAACGACGGACAAGGACGCGTTTATCGGGGCGCCGGGTTCGATTGCGTGGAGAGGATCGGTTTCCAGCTCGAACCTCACTTCGGCCTTCCCCAGCGGCCATTTGCTGAACCGAACTGCCATCACCAGTTCCATTTCCTCCTACAGTTATTTCGGTATGATTTTGCCATTGACTATATATGCTGTACCTATATTTAGTGCACTAAATAAATAAATATATACACTGCATATGCTGTACTGTATACAGTATACAGATGGCCTCTCTCTCTATCTCTCTATATACAACGATCTTATTATTGTCTGTAACAATATTTTCTGTACAGTTTCTGCTGTGTGCATGGTTGCAAAGGGTTCTCTTCCCAGCATGCATCGTCTAAGTCTAGGGGTTCCTCGCAACGAAATTCTCTCTACGACGAATTTGTTCTGGTCCCTGAAATTCTCGTTATGTACCAGAGAGTCCATCTGTGTATGCGGGCATTTACATGAATTTTTCTTCGTCCGCGAAATAAGCGAGGAATACAAGCTGAACAATAACCCATAATTATTGTCTTATCACATCGCCGCGTCGGGGTTGCATTCTTCAGCATGTGTCTCCCGCCAATTATAGTAAGCCAAGAGCAGGGTAAATCAATAAATGAAAAGCCAATAAATTAATAAAACAGACTCGGGAGCCAGGTTTTTGTCATTGCTGCTGAGCGTGTGCTGCTGTGGTTCCCGCGTGAGCTGAAGAAATAATCTCAGATAGTACGAGAAACTCATCTAGCCATTCTTATAGAACACTCCTCTGACCCGTTCTGTATCGTCCCTTGATATTCTGTAGGGAAAAAAAAACTACAGAAACCATCAGGTCAGGTGTAAATTAATGTACTGCACACGCTTTGTGTAATTCGTCTTGCTAAAGTCAATATTCCGGGATCGAGTAAGTGCTGCTGCTGATGCATGCATTTCACGCCTTTGCGCATGAAGCATACTCTATGTTAGTATTGTGTGCATGGACATCATGCATACATGCATCAGCAGTGATTTGGAAGATGAGCATTTAATTGATGTTCGTTCAACTTGGAAAGAGAATAGAAAATAAACGAATTATAGGTACGTCTTTATACATGTATGTATGCGTTGGATGATTCGATGATGACTCATTGGTGATATTGATTGTTACGTCGTCGTCGCACGCATCAGGCTATTCAGTGACTTCGGGAACCTTCGTCGTCCGAGGCGACCCGAGGCGGGCTTACTTCGCGGTTGGTGCTCCCAGAGGGTCGGAGGGCAGAGGAGAAGTGAGACTCGTTCGGAAAACCAGCCGAGAGCCCTGGATGGACATCTTGACGGGCACGAACTTGACCGGGGAGCACATCGCGTCCTACTTTGGGAGCAGTGTGGCTGCTGCTGATGTCAATGGCGACGGGTGGGTGATGATGCTTTTGATTCCCCGCGCGAGTCCCGCTTATTTTGACTGAAAGTATATATGAAACTAATAACCGATCGAGAAGAGAAAGAAGGAAGGAAGGAAGGAAGGAAAAAAAAAGAAAAGAAGGTCGACTTTGCTGTACTGTGCTGTTTTGTGCTTTGAGATAAGTTGTGTTTTCTTCATCAATGTCCAGACTGGACGACTTGATCGTCGGATCGCCGTATTTCCACGACCACGATTACAAGAGGGGTGGCGCAGTGTACGTGTACTTGAACACGAACGCCTCGAGACCGGAGCAGGCGTTCATCGATTCCCCAACCTACAAAAGATCCCTCTATGGTAATATAAATGAACGGAATCAAGAAGTAACCAAAAGAAAAAAAGTTTGGTTTTTTTTCTAAATAAATGCCGATTAACTATGAAACTATAGCAAAAGCTTGATGATCGAGATCAATAAGGACTGCATGCTGGTTACGTGCTGATGGGGGGTTTTCCACTTATTCATGCACGCGATATATTAGGATCGTCGAAAAGCAAATTCGGGTTCGCCGTGGAATCCATCGGAGACCTGAATCATGACGGTGCTGACGACATCCTCGTTGGTGCACCTGGGGCACAGGGTGGGAAGGTATACCTTTTTTTCGGGAAACCGGGGGCGACATCTGCGCATGACATTTTCCCGACGAGAACTGGTGACCAGGTGAGCTCGTCGTCGTCGTCCTATGCCGTATTACTGTTATTGTTGTTGTTGTTGTTGTACAGTACTTTTTTGCGTCTGCTGTCATTTCTGTGAGCTATACCCCACTTTCTATGTAAAGTTGGATATTTTTTCAACTGCAGTCCTGAATTGCCTGAGCTTTTCTTTTTTTTCGTTCGGCTCTTTAGCGTCACGAATAAATAGAGGGAGGCGCGAGGTTATGCATGCACGGGGTGGGCCAAAAAAAAAGTGAACTGATTTTTGACTTGAAAGCGCTTGGTAGCAAATACAGCAGCTGAAGCAAACAGTTCAAACACAGCTGAAAAGGAAGCACAGAGTAAAAGTTTATTCAATTCCCTTTGAAATGGTGTCTATGTTGTTTTATGGTACAATAATGATGTGCCGCAGCATGCTCACAAGAACCGTTTGAATGAAAACTTTCCACAAAAAAAGCTGTCAGGCAACTCCTCCCACTGAGATGCTCTTTTCCAGAGCGGTTGTAAGGCATAAATGAGGTGCAGGACCAGAAATGTAGACAGCAACCTTAATGCTGCCTTCAAGAGGGTGCACACATTCCTGAAATTGAGGAGGTGGGGCTGAGAAGTACCAAAAGAATTGAATTGGAAGGATTTTTCAGTCAGTCCTCTTCTCTTTTTTTTTGTTGAAAAGTTTCACTTGAATGGTTTTTATCGTGACCCTGATGCTGTGGTACTAATGCGGCAATACAACTTTGTACCATTTGCAATAGAATTGACCAAGCTTTCATTTCGAGTTTATTTTTCATTGCTGCGGCTGGATTTCCTACGGAGCTATTTGAAGTGAAAAATCGGGTCACTATTTTTTTGTCCATTACCCTGTATATATGGGTCGAATCCGTCTTCTGTGAAAGAAACGCGTTTATTATAGCTTATGGTTTCTTTTTAACGTCAGCAAAATTATAATACGTGAATGCAGGAAGAGGGCGACGAGTCGCGAAAATTGATTATTCGTATGCTGTGTTTTCCGATAATCTTTTGATCATAGTGTATCTTTTTTTTTCCCCCTCAGATTATCAGCGCCAAAACGCTCAACTCGAGCTTCGGCGGGACGACTGATGCTGATAATCATCACGATAAGAAGCATTTGTTGCACCTGGGGACTTCGATATCAGCAGGCATGGACTTGAACGCCGACGGTTCTCCGGACGTGGCTGTGGCAAGCTACACGACTGACAGCATCCTCATCCTCGCAGCCCATCCCATTTTGACAGTTGTTCTGCACCAAGAGATTCCTGACGACTTGCTGAACCCGGAGAGGGCTAAATGTGCTGCAGATCCCTTTTTGGGAGCTTGCAGGTACTGTATATGCAGTACAGTACATATACTCTATATATGCGCTGAATATAATTTGTGTGTGGCTCGATTATTGGTTCGTCATACTCACATCTCTCGTATACATGCTGTACATCACCTGATATATACAGTACAATAGTGCACATCAGCCCGTGTCTATATATATATATATACCCTCCAATTGCAGCTTCAAAGCCAAGCCGTGCTTCTCAATACACGAGTGGATTCGGGAGATATGTGAAGTAACTCTTCAGGTGGGTGCCGAAACAATTTTTGTCGCATTAATGAACATCAATCTGCTGATGTATGACGAAAGAAATGAGATTCAGCAAGCAGCACCTATTTAACCCATTTGTGGAAACGGGGAAATGATGTGCCTCAATTCACGTCTCGATCGATCCAGATCACTTGGAAGTTGGACTGGCGCTTGAAACGTGTGGTGTTTGCCGAGACGCAGGAATCCCAGAAAGTCTTGACGATTTCTCTACGGAAAAGGCAATCAGCAGAGCCCGTTTGTTTGCCGGAATTGGATATTATTTGGCAGGTAATAGCAAGTAATGGTTGAAATTGTTTCTCTCATTTATTTGAGAGTCGTCTGAGTTTCGTCTCGGTACCTATATGTCGGGCGATGCATATATAGTGTTGATGAGACGAACGAGGGCATGCATGTACAGTACATGTCGCGTTCTCTCATCGCTCTCTCGCACATTAATTTGCATGATTATATCATGCGCAGAAAGGAAGAAATGATTACCTGTCCGACGTGACGTTCAACTTCACATTCGTGGCTGTGAAAACGACAAGGTGTGAGCAAGCATCAGCACCAGTGCCTTATTCCTTGCAAACGAAATTGTACCCCGAATACCGAGATTTCCGGATTCCGCTGGCGAAGGACTGTGCTGATCCCCGGCAGTGTCACACCGACTTGCAGTTGACGTTGAGACCAGATAGGGAAGGCGAGTTATACGTACAGTACTGTACGAAGCATGAATGATTATTATTATAATAATAATTATTATTATTATTATTGGCATCATCACGCGTGTTGCTCGACGCAGCATGCAGCTGCACGACAGTTGGGAATTACAACAAGTCTGATGATGGATGAATAATTCATGTCTTGTTTTTCTAATGATGCTGGCTGCAGCATCAGCATGCTGTTCGTCATCAGAGTGATTGGAATAATCCGTCAACAGTATCTCATCATACTGTACTGGTTTTCTTCTTGTTGATCATATGCATATATACTGTATACGTACTGTATATACAGATCACACTTATCCCCTGAGCTCCGACGAACCCCTCATCCTGCGAGCGAGGTTGCAGAGAGAACAGGACCCGGCGTACCAGGCGAAATTCAGGCTGCAGTCCGCGTCTCGAATCAGGCTGATCGAAGCCATGCAAGTCATCGGGCCTCATTCGGACGACGTCGGCGGAAGCAACTCCACTGACACCAGGGTAAGTAGGCGGCGTATATTAGTGTATTGTCCTATACTTTTTGCTGTACGTGTGCGACCTCGGTTATTTCTAGATGAGTAGGTCGTGTGACTGTAAAAGAAAACACAGCACTGTACACTATGATTTAGCCTAAGATGTCGTCAGGTTCTGGGATTTTTTTCCAGCATACTGCATGTTGATAATATGTGAAAACTTTTCGGTTATGGCCAGTATGTCACCGGGTGCTTAAAATTTGTCGGACCAGCTCATAATTCAAATTTTGTCATCCATCGTTCTATAACCACAATCTAAGATATGGAAAAGATATACTGGGTAGTGATTGAAACAACAACAAATTCCAATTTGTAAGCTGGCAAGCCTGAAAAATCTTTTGCACCCAGCTGCTGTGACTAGGATGGGAAACTCTGGTCGTATCTTCTGCATTTTGGAAGATTCCACTTTGCATCATCATAAATGAATCGAAAAATGCTTTTAAAATTGGGAAGAAATATTCCAAAACCTTATGCAACCTGGGCTATATCATAATTTTTTTTTTTTTTTTTTTTTACAGACATACAGCGTCTCTATAGAAATATTAACCATAGTCGATTGTGCCCAAGAGTGAGACAACCCGGCCTCATAAAGTACACAACTGTATATCGTTGATAGACTTCTGCTCAGGATAGTCTAAATCCTATGTTGTATCGCGATGAAGCGAATGCCTCATCCAATTTTCTTGTTTAACTCATTATCCGTGTTCATTTCTAAATGCAAAGACTGCAATACCATATGTATGTATGTATGTATGTGTGCAGAAACTCAAGTGCGCATCCCGCTCGAGTCGATTGGACATCCTCTGCGAATTGGAGCCTGTGATGAGGCAGCAGACGACAGAGATTGAGATTCGGCTCAGTGTGGATTTGCCAGCCACTTCCCAGCACTTGCTCAATTTCAAGGGCACGTTTTCTGCGAGCACTGCGTCGACGGATGCTGTTGCTGAAGTCAAGAACATCCGCGCCATGTTCAAATCCGACGTGGTCATGGAAAGGTTCGTGCATTTCCTTCATCCTGCGTATATGATCACATTCACATCCCATCAGCATCAGTCAGCACTATGATACTCGAGTGATGCCAGCGAGGGAATAAAAGTCCGCGTTGAATTTTACAAACTCTCGCCCTTTATTCATCAACTTGTCTCTGAAGAGCCTCAGAAATTGTGTATATAATGGCTTGACTCTTTTGAGACATTTTAGCCAGTATAGTCCAATCATATTTTAGTATTATTGTTCCGCATCGATAAATGCCTATAAATACTTGGCTGAATTGGATAATTTGAATCACAGCACACCAGAAAGAAAGTGACTCTCGGCAAATCTACTCGCTTTCTCAAGGTTCCAAGAAACACGGAATTTTCTTTTAAACAAAACAAAACAAAACAAAGATGATCACAAAAATGAAAAAGGAAAATCTTGCAGGAAACTTAAAAAAATGAAATAAATGTCAGAACCCAAAATTTCCCAAAAGAATAATAAACACAAATCGCTTGATTAACTCTGAATTCTAACTATATATGGACATAAAACTTGGTCTCGATTCAAGAATTTATTTGGACAAGGAAAATAAGTACTATACTGTAGTGTAGTTTCATTGCAAACAGTAAGAGTATCGGTATTTCACTTTAAATTGCTGATGAACCCTGGACACTGTAAAGTGAATTTTTCAAGATTGAGTATATATGTATGTAACTTGGGCCATTCAACCTTCCCCTCCCCCAAAAAATAAGAAAGACCGCCAAGCTTGAAATAAAACTTGCAGCAATAAATAATTGCAAGAATCGAGCCTCGCTCCCTGCTGCATGCTCATATGCTACATGTTTTATTCATTTATTTTTTCTGATCATGCCACTATTTATAATACCTGCGTGCCTTATGCTGATGATGATGAACCATGTGATGAATATAACGGACGTTCTCTGATGCTGGAAACGTCGAGTCCGTCAATAAAATGAATTTGAAATAGTGGACATGTACCATTGCATATACAGTACTGTACTGTATTTCAATGAAATACGAATTAAATCGCGGCCTGCATGATGATGTATATATATACGGACGGTCCTCATGCAGTTCCAGCGACCCGAGTACAGTCAAGCTGTCGGCATTCCCAGCTGTGAGGGGTGATGGACAGTACCAGTACTTTGACGAGGCTGGCCTCTCTGTCACACACAGTTATTTATTCTCCAACGAAGGCCCGTCCAGGATACCGTTGGCCAAGGTCAAGTTTGAATGGCCCGACGCGGAAGAAATGGGCGATGACAAGAAAGACTGGATCTTGTATTTGAAATCCGAACCCCGACTCACGACTAAAACAGGTAATGCTGTACTGTATACGTGAGTGATGAAACTTTGTGTCGTGCGTATCTATCGCTCAGCACGCAGCCAATTATTAAATGCTGAACTCAAAGATGCGAGAAAAATAATGAGCATCGATCAGTTTTCTGTTGGCTTATATTGCGCTAATTTATTGATGACGATGCACAAAAAGGTTATTTGCGTGCTGTGTCTTGATTTTTTTTCGCGTTTTATCGATCGACCGCATATGTATACGGTATATACACGCGGTATGCCGTAGTCTAATTGCTATTCATATAGTAGTGTATATGTATGCATTGGTACCCTGCATTTCGTATTTTTCCTCGGGAATGCGCGCCATATTGTACGCAACTGAACAATAAGTATATCAGTCCGGATTAAGCATTCCGCTCATAAAGTACTGTACGTAATATAGTATTGTGTACCGTATACTTGGTTAGTTAGTCCGTATGCCGTATACAGTATATACGGGTCATAAATAAGACGTGCTGATATGAGAGTACTGTATCCTGAACTCCATCAGACACGGAGCTGAAGGTGAACTGCACGCTGTCCAGCGTAGATACGATCAATCACGCCGTTCTCCGCACTTCGTCATCGTCTCATCATCCGGCAGCATCAGATGAGCATCAGGCAGACCATAGTGATGATCAACAGCCTGCTGCTTCTGCTTCTGCTGCTGGTGTTGATGATGATGATGATTATGACACGAGCGACGTCAAAGCGAGGAAAAGGCGACAGTTGATCCTGACGGACTTGGACGAAGCGACGGTGAGCTACGTACAGTACTGTGCTGAATATATCATTCACAATGAAAGGTAGTGTGTTTGACGCTCGCGTAACCACAGCGTAAAGTATGCTTTGTGCCAGCACTCTTCTACATCCAGTACCTCATAATACATGCATCAAGTATACCAGGCTGGAATATGAAACTGCACTATACTCGATCGTTTCAATTTCCCATCGTCCCGCTTTTTTTTTTTTTTTTTTTTGGCGGGTACCTTATAGATTTGCAGAGGGCCGGATGAGAATGGGGCCACTTCTTACAGCTGCTACTTCTGCGACCTGGTCGACTGGCCCGTCCACTTGGCCGTTTCTTTCGAGCTGGACTTCCTCCTGTGGAGCGAGTCCGTCAAGCCACGGGTCCTTTCGGGAGACGGCACCAAGTGGGCCTCGGATGCTCTGGTGGAATGGCCAGTCACGGCATTCAGCAGCAAACGTGTCCTCAAGAAACAGGTCTACTTTCTTTCTTTCTTTCTTTCTTTCCTTATTTTTATTTTTTGGATCGACGATTCGCACATTTTTTTTCGTTCTTTATTTGTTTGCGAACGTTCATATATATATATATAGGATACGTCATGATTCAAAGTTCTAGTTCTCATGGACTCCCATTTCTCGAAAGAAAAAGAAGAGAAGATATTTATTCCAATGAATGTTCGCAGCTACGCATGTTGATCAAAGTCATATCGTGAATTTCAGGAGAATCGGAACGATAATTTGTTTCGATGTAGGAGAAAATTCTTCTCAATAAAAAAAAAATTAAAAATGGTTGCACTCTTTTTGTCTGCGATGCAATATGTGCAGTATTTGGTTTAAAGAATGATGAAAAAGTTAGTTTCCACGCTATGTAAGAATGACATATTTTCCTAAGAATTTTTAAAAGAGTGCTTATGCACAACCCAGAAAAGTTCTTCCTCCCCAATTTTTTTCTTTTTCGTGCTATTTTTCCATTTTAATCCACCATTACAAGGTGTTGATAAGTACAGTATTGTCTTCCAATAAAAAATACATTTCGTGCATCCCAATTTAAATTCACGCTGGTGTCATTTTCAGATAACATTCAGAAACATTTTTACAGTTTTTTCTCAGCTCTCATCATTTCCGTCAAGTAAAATATTGATAAACATGTTTCCATAAAGGAAAATAACTACTGCAAACTCTTTTCCTGCATTTTAATGGAATTTTGATATTTTCGACTGTATTTCTGAACAGCTAGGACGTCATGTAAAAGGATGCAGTTATTTCAAATTTTTTCTTTCACTGGTGATTCATTATTGTTTTGTTCGTATTATTTTTCAAAAATGGGAAAATACTGTATTTTTCGATCCAACTTTTTTCTTCTCTACATCAGTGTTCCCCGACCCGTGGTGGTCCGCGGACCGGCGCCGGCCCGCAGAAGTTTTTTGCCGGTCCGCAGGAACTTTTCTTTAGCTTGATAATAAATCGAAAGTGACAATGAAGGACGTTACAGTATCTCTCTCTGAAATTTTGGAAAGACGAGGGCAGTTGAAATTATAGCGTGAAAATTAAAAGCTGGCTTTTCTCTTGATGACACTCCAGACAAATTTTCACCTGCTGAAATAAGTCATTCAGATTTTTCATTATGATCATTCTTTCTTCAAGCCTCCTTCATAATTTTTGAGGACATTCCATTATACCTGCTTCATTGGTTATTAACTTAATTTTTGCGAAAGAGCATAAACCTCCGAATACCTGCCATGAAGTCTTACACATCTTTTTTTTTTCATCTGCAAAAATGGTATGGAACTTTGCGGGTCCACAGAATTTTTTTTCTGAATTTGCCGGTCCGCGAAAAAAAATTATGTTAATTTGTCGTTCTGTACTGGGCTCAAAAAGGTTGGGGAACACTGCTCTACATCACAACATAAGTTTTATGCACCGTTTTAAATGTGCAGTCGATTCCGAAAAATACCGGCACTGTACTGTATATTTCCCGTGACCTCTTCCAATATGTATTCCTGTCAAAGGCATTGTTCATTGCAGAAATGAGGTCATTCTTTTTGAATTGAATTTATTTCAGGGATATTTACGTTGCCACACTTCAGCAGATTATGCATAAGGGATGCTACTATTACTGTAAAGGGCTCTGAAGTTTTTGGCCGGAAAATGGGATACAATACTGTATATACAGTATTTCGATAGCTCATCTGGAGAGATAAAGAACTGAAATTGCCTCCATACAGCATAATAGCTTTGATATACGGTATATATTTTTGGAATCAATTTTAAATTCCGAATAAAGTATTGCAAAGTATAAAAAATTTTGATCTTCCCGCCTCGAATAAGGAAAAACAAAACATCATATCGTTTATATTTCACAAAAAAGATGCAATGGAACAGGATGTAGAATAATATTGCTGCACGGCAGAGCAGAGCAGAGTACAATGCAGTATATAATTACATAATATATATTTTAGGTCGAAGTCTTTCGTATTAAAGTAATTCATGGAAAGCAGGTGGGGAAAAATAAATGAAGCCTTTGAATTCGTATACTGTATACTGTATGCTACAGGCTGTAACTGGGATCACTGCCGACCAAGCGCGTGAGACGGAGAAGGTCTTTCCTCTCAAGTGGATCATCGGTGGCTCCATCGTCGGCGGACTCGTCTTGCTCGCAGGCATCATTCTCTGCCTCCGGTGTTGCGGGTTCTTCGACAACAAGACGATGAGGCGAGCACCGAGAATAAATCCTGGGCCTGGCGGTGATGGTGCTCTCCGTTCAGATGAAACGGACCTCGTCGCGGAAGAAGGCCAGCCTCTCTCACCATCGGCGGCGGCGACAGATTGAGAGACTAGTTACGATATTACAGACGGAGCGTAATGGAAACACGTACAGCACTCATCATCATCGTGTGCGTGCTCTTTTGTATGCTGTACTGTACAGCTCTCAATTATTCAGATGTGTCGCGATCATATAATACGTGTACGTGCAACGCAGAACTATACATACTGTAGATAGGTACATGATGATGCATCACTCGCAGTACTGTACTGTACACCTTGACGTACTGTATATAATGAGTGTGTATGAAGGCAGCATCATTATGCAGCTATATTTGCACAAGTACTGTACTGCGTATAATTTGTGCCTTTATTATGGGATGTTCCTATAGCTGATTGTTGGAGCGCAGTGGCAAAGTCTTTCCAAAATGACGGCAGTCGGTGTCAGAGAGCGATTGATGCACCAAGCGCGGCGCTTGTACTCGTGCAAGGGAACGACATCTTCTTTCTGCGAACAATAGGAATCGAGAGTTGCACATAACTAGCTGTCGTAATCTTTGCAGGCGATAAATCGTAGTGATGATGACGATATATTCACGTTCGTCGTCATGGGATGACGAACGTAAACATATGCATTCAAGTATAGGAAGTTTCCAACTTTTTTTTTTGTACTCCTTCGTCCTTTCTTTGGCCATATATCTCGATGTGGACTTTTGTAAATTATGTGATATTATTCGTCACAGACTTTTTTAAATTCACTTGCTGGATTTAAGGTGTATTGACCCTTTATGAAATAATTGTTCGTGTGCGTGTGAATGAATTTGACATGCGCGGTGTGTCATCTGGCAAATTGTATTTGTGTTTTTCAACTGTCGAATCTGTCTTATATACAGTATGTGGATGAATGAATTTATACGAAGGCATATATGAACTTTTAAAGTTGCACATGTCCGAAATATGAGCTGAATTATTATTATATACAGTATACTATTATTTTTGTTGCCCAAGTGTCTTTCATCAAATAATACTGTAATGGGGTTGTTATGCATGCTAGAATAAACCACAGCAGAGGAGATTGCACGGTACGTGAAGGAGTTTTTCAAGGCATCATCAGACGAAGGAATAAAGAAAGCGCAAGCCTCGATCTGACGTACGTTTATGGTGAAGAGCGGGACTTGAGGACCACCAGCATAAGTAGCACGGGGGTGCAGCATCAGCTGCTGTGGGTCTTTGGAAACCCAGACTCTGAACGCCGCCCCGCCAGGGTTTAATGTCAAAACGAGTTCGAACACGATTGTTCGACTGAATGCCGCCGTCGTCTTCGTCGTCACGTCCAGCTGCGCATCTGCGAAAATGCCCCGCGGATATATACATGCCATATACAACCACGTTGTGTTATATGCTGCATGATCCAATAATACTGGACATGATTCTCACCCTCGTCAATCCCTGAAGCGACGGCCGATTGGATTCCGCTCAGCGTCCAATTGTGGCAGCGATGCTGCACGACCTCGTCCGGCACTCCTCCTCCTCCAACACGAACTGCTGCTGCTGCCGTGCTGGCCATCAGTTGGTATTCCGCCCAATACCGATTCACCAGGCTGTTGATGAATTCCACGACAGCCACGGCGGCTCTGTTCACGTCAGCTGCATCATTGGTGCTGGTGCTGCTCATTGATGGCAGCACTGGCTGGTAACGGACCCGACTGCAGGCGCTGGCTGGGATCCCCGCGCTGGCGCAAGTCCGGGTTTTCGGCACCCGACTCCGCAACAGACTCATGCCGAGTTTCCGCAGCAGCATGGGCGGCGGCGGTGATGGGGCACTACTACTACCACCACCACCACCATCAGCACCACTGCTCTGATGATGACGATGATGATGATGATGATGACGACGACGACTCATTCTGCTGACCCCGGTGATGTCTCGGAGCAAGACGTGGAGATCGGCGTGGGTCGTCAGACTGCCGCGACGCGCATTGTGCCTCAAGTTGTCGTACATGACCCGATGGGACCTTCGGAACCACGGGGGCCAGAGCATGAAGAGCAGGGGCGTCTTGGACTCGGCCAGTCCCTGTCTCGTCGTCGCCGTCGAGCTCCACTTGTGGCCGTGGTCGCCCATGAGGATGACCAACGAGTCGTTCCTCATCATCGGAATACCATCATCGTCGTTGTCTCCTCGATTCATCCAACGCAGCAACTCCTTCAACTCATGATCCACGGCTTCCACGTGAAAGTCCACTTCGTGCGAGAACAGGCCCTCGAAGTACACGAAGAACTTGGGCTTGTCCGAGTACGTCGTCCACAGTTGTTTCAAGTACTCCTGGGCAAACTGCGAGACAACGATTGCTCGATTAACCTGCTCACTTAATTTGGATGGGAGAAGATGGGGAGAATGTAAGCAACAAATCATGCTGGCCGGTGTTCAGCAATTTCTGCTGTAAAAACCAAGCAAATTGCACGGATGTAAAGACAAACAAGCAGCGCGTCCTTCATTTTCATGTAAAATCTATGGTCTACTCTAGGGCTACGAGCAGCAAAACACTTCCTCTATATCTACAGTATATACCCTGTACTCCTCATGTTTTCTTTTTATCATACCGCCGTAATGCGAATTTCGAATGCTCTTTGGCAATGCTGATGGGTTTGTCATTCATCGTGAGGAAATGAAAATACGGTACAGTAGTACAGTAATTAAAAATTTCATTAGAAAATATATTGGAAGTCCAGCTTAATTTCCTGCACTTATTCCGTATACCCGTAATTTGAATTTAGCGAAATGTATTTTGGAAAGGAGGAAGACTTCGTATTTCATCATACACTTCCAAACGAAAAATTAATTCTGAAAATCATTCATTTCGAGCTTGTTCTTTCCTTATTTGCACTAGGGAAAACAGCACATAACTGATCTAAGAATGTCGATTAATTACCAACCCGAATAACCTTTCTTCAAAGGATTTGATGATTTTCTCTACACACTAAGGAACAAAAAACAGCGGGAAACGTCACAATTTAAAACGTCATCACACTCGATAACTCGAAGGACTTTTTCAACAATTATTGGGCTTTCATTTTATCGCTTTACGTGGGAATGTCATGCAATTTCCGGCCAAATTTCCTCCCCCTTTCCTCGGAAAACTCAGCGCTTATTTGTGAGGGGCGATGTCCACGATTTCATGATGTGGTCATGTTTAAAATGAATGACTTGTGCGTAATTCATTCTTCCCCGAAAGGCATAGAAAAGAAACTCACACGCCCTGATTTAGAAAAAAGTTTCACTAAAGTCGAACTTATTAAAACAAAAAAACTTATTATTAACTCATTATTATTACTTATTAAAACTTATTATTGTTTGAAGGCTTTGGTTTTTAGGTTGGATCTGTTTTTATCTCTCTTTCAAAATTTACTGTATCTTGATGCAAAGCTGAAATAATATTCAATAGAATCTTGTGACAACTAATCTCGCCATTCTGAAAAATCGCTTCAAAGAAAGTCGTTCTTTTAAGCAATCGCCACAGTGTTAAATAAGGTACAGTACTTCGTAACACATTTTTGGTTACAATGATGCTATTTTACTAGTTGCAATGACTAAATTTTTGCAGAATTTTCAGATGCCCACTGTTTTGAGGGTCTATTACTAGATGTTGCCCAAGCGCCAAGATACAATAATGTACAACAATACAATCTGGCAAATAATACACCACATTGTATTAGTTACCAACAAAAATATCTACATAAGGAAAAGTACAATTCGAAAGAATCTTAACAACAGACCAGCCTTGAAGATAATGATCTTTGGGAATTATTCCGCAGAAGTGAATCATCACTCGGTAAAAGGAATTAATGAGGATTACAAAGAAACAAATCAAAAGGATTCTGCTGAGAATGTCTTTGACATCCTCAGCAGAAAGCCTTGGAGAAACATTCCACTGAGAAGGGCCTGAACCAGGACAGAATCACCATACTCAAGAATCAATTTTCATCTGAACCTCAGTGTGAACTGCTTTTACTTTGCAATATGTGTGCATCTAGACTTGTTAAAAAGGAAAGATACAGTTGTTTGAAGAGTTTGAAACCTCAGGCCAGAAATGGCCTATTGTGTTTACAATACTTTATTTCACGAAAATCCAAGTCTTTGTCAGCAAGGCCTTTGGGACCCCTGACACAATGGCCACACTGCAGTACAGTTTGAAAAGTAGGCGGCCTTCGCCACAGAGCTTGTGGGATAAAAAATACTGAGCAATTTTTTATAGTCTCAATCCATTGGTTCTGCTGTTGTTGATATTTCTACTATTCAGTTTAATTACTTGGTGGTACTCTCCATTAGGTGTGTGAAAAATATTGAAGCAGAAGAAGCGATGGGGGAATACAGATTGAGATGAAGCAAGTCTATAGTATCAAGCAATGTTCCCCAACCCATATATGGTCTGCAGACCAGTGCTGATCCGCAGAAGTTTGTTACTGGTCTGTGAGAAACTTTCTTCAGCATGTAAATAATTAATCAAAAGCCCATATCTTATCTTATCTTTATGTGACATTTGGGAAAGACAATAATGGCAGTTGAAATAATCTGATGCAAAATAAAAGTAGTCTTTCCTCTGAATATCACTTCAGACAGATTATCACCAGTCAAAATAAATTATTTCAAGTTTTCATTCTGATGAGAAACCTTTGTTTGAGGCCACCTTTCTAATTTTTCCAAGACATTATAGTGTAGCTGCTTCATTGCTGGATTTCAACTTACTCTTGAAATACCGGACATAACGTCTTTCATGCGGAATTTATTTATTTTTTTTTTGAGTCTGCAAAAGAGTTATAAAACTTTGTTGATCCGCAGAACATTTTTTGGGAATTTGCCAGTCTGCGCAATAACAAACAAACCAACGAAAAAGAGTGCCGGTCTGCATGCCCAAAAACAAGGTTGGGGAACACTGATAATGTAGAGTACAAGTACTGTACTGTACTGTACTGCGAGATAATGACCCTGTTCATGGTTCGGTTGTGCACGCAACGGGGCCACGTGTGCCCCAGTCGAGACGCCCTCTCGAGCATGTACGGCCTGTGCCAGTGGTCCGCCAGTCGATCTCGAAAGGCCCCATCGCCAGCACCAGGACTCGATGATGAAGACGACCGATTGGACGTGAGTGAAATGAACGTGTCCGTCTCGGGACTCTCTTCGAAGTACGCCGTGACGTAGCCGCGTCTCTGCAGCTGGCGGAAGATGAAGCCTGCCGACGATGAGTCATTATTGTCATCGTCATCGTCGTCGACGGCGGTCCTCGTGCTGGTGTCCTCCACGTAGTATCCCTTGTGGTAGGTGAGGTTCAGCAGCCTCGAGTCCGCGAACCGCTCTCCTGCATGCACGCATCAATAATATCATCATGATGATTGCCGTATATTTCACCACGTGGATGAGAAGAAGGGATGCTCGGATATATATATATATATATATATATACATATATACCCGTGAAGAGGGGACCAAGGGCGTGCAGCGTGTGGCGACCGAAGGCGTTGAAGCCGTGGAAAACGAGTCCGTCGGCCATGTGGGTCCGCATGAACCTCCAGGACCTCCGCATGCTGCGAATGAAGGTGTTTTTGGAGACGGACTCGAGGATCCACACGAGCACATTCAGACGAGGTAGTGTCTTTCCTGCTGCTTCCGATGATGATGTGACGGGTTTATTATTGTTCAGCTCCTGCTGCTGCAACACGTATTGCCAGCCCGTTGAATTCACCACGTGCGGGAATCGAAAGGCTGCAGTCAGGAAAACCTCTTCCCACCTGGGTCATATTATTGTGGAAATGGCCTTCCATATATGGGTCTCGAGGATGCTGGTCAGTCAAGTCAACAGTCTAAGCCTTTTGCACAGGTTATGAGTATTATACATATATACAGTAAAACCTGGCAAAGTTTGGGAAATGCAGAAAAAAAGTTTCTTCTCCTGAAAGCCGGATAATTTTTTTTTAAACAAGATCTTCTAAATACATGAATGGAAA